TATTATTATTATTATTTTTATTTTTAATAAAATGCTGAAGTGGTAGGTAGATGCAAGATAAAGGTAGAAAACATAGTTTAGTGCTGTAAGAAGGCAAATGTAGATGATCAGATGATCAGGTGTGTGCCTATGGACTAAGTATTAATCCAGGCTAGACAAGGGCATCAAGACATCCACGGATGCAGAAGATTTCTCTCAAAGCAGGGGGGGTGAGGTTCTGAGCCTCACCTCTGTTGATCCCCAAATTCTCACCTGATGGCCCCCCTGCGACTGTGCCTGTCTTAGGTTGTTCCTCCCTTGAGGAATCTTACCCGTCTCTGGCTAACCAGTCAACCAGAGATAACTTTTTATCTGAAAAACTTGTCCACATGGCAGGGCAAACATCTAATTGCCAAACGTCTTTTCTTATTGTCCTTGAATCATCTTCTCCTCTGAAGTCTCTATCCCATTAGCTCAGGATGGCATCTCAGCTCAATTGCTTGACTTGTCCTTGGGTCTCATATTTTTACAGGGCTTCTGTACATGTATAATTAAACTTGTTTTTCTCTCGATCATCTATCTTACATCAGTTTATCAGCCAAAGAACCTAGAAGAAGAGAAGAAAAGTCTTTCTCTGCCAAAAGTCTATACATGGGGCATAAGGGACATAGTGAGTGAGTGTGTGTGTGTGTGTGTGTGTGTGTGTGACTATGGGAACATGGGGTCAGGGTGAAGGAGGTTAGAAAATGAATTATGTGTTGAGTAAAGGGAGACTATATTTTTCAATGTTAAAACTCATTTGTTTTGCGGGGAAATATGGACATTAGTGTCAAAAATGGTATATTTTCTATGTTGAAAATATTTCAGGTATTATCATTGCTATTATTATTTGTGATGTCACGATTATTGCTGCTACTGTGACCATGGTGGCTTTGGCTAACACTCTTACTTGGGGATGTGAAATATAACCTGAAGGTTGTAAAGGCTGCCTGGTGTCAAGTGACAGGGAATGATGAATGTGGCTTAGTGGCCTTGAGCTCCAGTTTCCTGTCATATAAATCCCTGCCGTAGCTGTAGTTTGGCCATGGCTGGTCAGCTGTCCCTTCACAGGATAATTTGGATGGGTTTTTGTGTATTCCAAGGCTTGCCATCCAACAGGGGAAAGAGTTTGATGCATGGACCTGTGTATTTATTTTTCATCCCATTGCTGTGTTGCAAATGGGCCCTAATGGGCATTGTAAACATCAGAGACAAGTTTAGGCAGTGGTTTAGGAAATTCCTACGGACAGCCTTCATCTGCTGTCTTTTCCCTTCCTTTTCTCCTACCTCCCATTTCCTCTTTTGATCCTTTTCTCCATGGCACCGTTTGTTCCTCCCTGACTTTCTGACAATGGATTACTGCAGGCTTCCTTTGCAGGAAGATCACATGACCAGCCATAAGAAAGAAATCAAGTAACTCAAGTCTGATGCACTTCTGCAGATATCGCTGTTCTAGAAACCATATACTCTTCTGGTGGCTGTTTCCCTGGCTGCCTCCTAGAGAAGTAGCTTTTGTGAGAAGAGTTCCAGTGAGGGAGATTATGAATCAGGTGTTGAAAATGCTATGTCCGGTACCTTATGTGAAATATCTTTGTACTAAGGGAACCTAGGTTCTAATTCCTTGGCGTTAAATTAGAATTAGAGCGTATCTTATGTTTTGAAATCTGCATTCAAGCACTGGAAGAGTCAGATTTGAAAACTTGTATTTGTGTGTGAAAATAAGTCAATCAAGAATTTTCTTCGGTCTAAATTATTGAAAAGGAAAAGAGGTTTCCTTAACTCCCTTCTGCTACTATCTTAAAAAATGCGGATGGCCATTATTGCAGCATAATGCTTATCTGCATAGTAGTATCTGCCACCCCATTGTCAAGGCATAATTGTTTTATGTTTCTGAAACTTGTATTTTTCCTTTGTTAAAAGCTTAACATTGGATTTCGGTCACTTACTTATTCATGCCATACATATTTATTTGACACCTACCATGGTAAAGGCATTGTGACAGATAAATGAATGAGGTATAACCCTGCCTTCAAGTCAGTAGAAGAAATAAGGCATTTCATGCACAGAGACTAAACCTTGAAGATCCAGCTTGTCACTCCTGAGCTGGTCATAATATCTTGCAAATACCTGTGTTGTAGCTTCTAATCATGCCTTTATTGTACTTTTCTGTGTTTCTTTCTTACAATTTTGGAGGGCAAGACCTTGTCTTAATAATCTTTGTAAACTTAGCATTTAAGGAAATACATGACCTAAATGAAGTATGGTCCATTTTTATTGAATGAATAAATGAGCCAGTATTTCTAATCCAATAGGAATGCGATAGGTAGCATTTTGAGTGTTACAGATAGAGGGCATGGGGGAATCCAATAATTAAGAGATTGACTGCAATTTGAGTAGTCAGAGAGATTGATGCTCAGAAGCTAAGAAAGGCTAAAATAATTTCCCATAAGTCAAGTAGCCAGCATTTGAATCAAGGTCAGAATTTCCAAAGTCTGTGGTCTTCCCATTCATTATTGACTTCAGTGTTTGCTTCTTCCATGTTTAATTTTTCTGAAGTTTAGGTAACAAATTATGTAGATCACAGTGTGTCAGGCAATAGAGATGTTCCATTGCCATTTATTTAAAAAGTTAAATTTTATTCAATTCCAGAAACATATGAGAAAACCATAGAAAATAAGATCCTGTCTATATTTTACTTTGAAAGAAAGTAACTTTTTTGAAGTAGCTGAGTTTAGAAAGGCTGGTAGTTGAGCAGTCTCTCAGTCGTGGGTGCTGTATAACCACACAATCTGGAAATGCTCTTCACTAATAAAGAAACAGATACCCCAAAGGTTTCGCACCTGCGAAAGTCAGCTTTTCACTCCTCATCCTGGAACACCTTCTGAAAATGTTTTCAATCTTTATTTCTAGTTACCCACGGACTTTCTCTTTAGCTAACTCAGTATATAGTCCTTGCTTTGGGGTTAACAATTGTATCTTTACGTATAATGTGGTCAAACCTTAAGAGGC